AATGCATAAACTTTACAAACTCCTTTTCAGACCTGCATTCAGGGGTTACATCTGCACTATAACAACTGTGGAGGCACGAGTGATCACCTATCATCTTCATGAATCCAGTCATTTTAAATAATTACTAACAATGGAGCCATATGTCAAAAATTAAGGGTTACATACAATGAACTTTCTGAATAAAGAGTCCTTACTAAAACCACATGTGAATTTTGAGATAGGTATGCACAGTAGTTAGGACAATCAGTTACTGACCTTCTGCTGTTTACTGCAAAATAAAGATGTTAGTGAGAATTCATAAGGAGCAGTGCACAGACTCAAAAAGGACAGTGCAGACGTCAGTCTAGCCAAGTCACATAAGACTCAACTTGGGACTAACCACCCTTTCCACTGGCTCTGTTCCACGCTTCCCCAAGGTCAAAGAAAGGCTATTCAGCAAACTAATTAGTACTTCTACTTTACATCTGAACATGGCTTTGAGCAACTGAATCAGTTCACTGAGGGCTGCACTGTGTTCTAATACATACACTCCAGAGCAAAAGGCTTTACTGGTTGTCACCAGGGCTAACTGCTTAATTGTATATTAAAAAATTATGAAGTCTATTTGAAAAAAAAAAAACAAACAAACCACCAAAATCCAATCATGCAATCAAGATGTGTAAGAACATGTACCACAGAACACCTGTGAAGTGCAACCTCAAAGGATGCCATGACTGTAGTCCCCCTAACGGCCATGATTCTATTTATTAATACCTGCACATAAGCATCAGAATTTCAAATGTGTTTACCTCCCACCACGAGAATTAAGATTTAATTAGAAATTTGAGATTTATTCCTACCTTTGATGCCACTACTTTTGCTTTAATTAAACAGTTGCTCTGATCCACCATCCTTTAAGAAGTCCTCTCCTGTACCTAACATTTTTAACTAGGATGGGAGACGATTTTTTGGAGCCTCAGAGATATTTCTCCCCAATTCCCATACACACTGTTGACATAATCAACACAGTAATGCTTCCAGCTATATGGAGAGTACTATCAGACCAAGTGTGCAGCATGGAGTTGAAACATGATCTACTGAGGGTGTTCTCATACACTTCTAATTTTATTAACCAAACCTGAAGAGTGAAAAAGTATGCCATGCGCTTCTCAGTGAAGACCCTTTGCATGCGAGATTCATGCTCCAAAATTAAACTGCCTGTTTTCTGAAGAGAGTATTTTTTAAATCTAAGTTTTAATATATTAAGAATTGTAATAGTAAAGAATTTTATTTAAACACTAAATATGTGTAAACAGAAAAAACAAAATGCTTTAGGGAAGTATTATAAAGTAGTATAAAGACTCTTAATTTTTATAGGATCCTAGTAACTACCCATGATCTTGCATCTTTAAATGAAAATGGTATTTGAGTGAAAACACATTTCTACCTCCTTTCCTTTCACTGAGACATGCTCAAAAAGCTTGCTTAGTCCAAAGCCAGAAAGCCCAAGAACCTCAAGTGGTAATGATCAAGTGCATCATTGCTAAAACTTCCACTACCAAGAAAGCATTCAGGAGTTTAACTGGAGATGATAACAAATGATGTAACCCACACCTGAGAACAGTACTACCAAGGCCAACAGAAGCAAAGCAAGTTTTTCTCCGAAGAGAATACCCGACACCTTTAAGCCTCACGAGAAGCTTCAGTCTAGCTCAGAATAATCAGAATATAACAGTTCTCTTATTAAAACAGCTTTTACATTATTCCAATTTTTGTAAGTCAGAAGGAAGGGCCTCAGAGCTTCATAAGAATATACATATTCATGTTCAGACCTGGATTTTGAGTAATTAGATTTTGTTCTTCATGAGGACAAAGGCACTGCCTTCCATAAAGTATACTTAATGAAATCACGTATTTGCAAGTTGTCAGGTATTTAAAACTACTAGATTTTTTTTAATAGTATTAATATTTTTTTTTAATTCACAACTTATAAAATATAAAGCTTTTTCAGATGGCCTTGTTTGTTAGTATTTAAAAACCAACGAAAACCCTCAACAATACCATTAACGTTGATAAAAGCAATTTATTCTCCCAATAGCACATTTCATCTCTGTATACCAATTCTCTTTTTGCTCTCACCTCATCTTCTGCCCACCCACTCCATACGTTATTAAAACATTACTGTCTTGCATAGAACATTGCCAATGTATTTTTAAATTAAGATGGCCCTGATCCAACATGTACTTAAGTTAATGGAGTCCAACTTGCCTTGAAAAACAATACAAAAAAATCAAACTATAGTAAGTGAAAAAAATAAGTGTACTGCAATGAGATTTATCCCTAATGACTAACTGGAAAATCAGTAGATATTACACTCCTTCTATTAGAATGGGCTGCAGAAGTACACAAATGACACAGCAAGGTAGGAAAAAGTAAAGAGGAGAAAAAGTCCAGTCCAGGACACACAGGATTCCACTTTTTTGCACATGTTTATTTCACCAGTACAATACTAAAATCAGATGGGCTGTCAGCGTAGACTGAAATCAAAGGGACAACCTGGAGTTACACTTAAGCATAACCTACAAGTTTTAAAATATTGCAGTAGAAAGGCCTTAGTTTTCTGAACAAGGCAAATTGCTGCACACCTCTACGAGCAGATACAGTTTTAGACAAAAGCTGTTTCTGCGTGCTTTGCTCAACAAGTCTGACTGTAAAAACTTCTGACAACTTGTCATGCAAAACTCTCAGATGTGACTCCTGGCCAGGCACAAACATGAACATATGTATTCAAGGAAACAGCCCTGTGCTCCACCTGGCTTTGTACTCCCATGAGTTCTTAAAACCATATACTTTTCATAAAACAAGACATTACTAATAAAGGTCTGAAAGCTGGGTAATCAGACGTTTGCTAATAATATTTCTCTCCAACCCCTTCTTCTCTACCACCTCTCAATTCTGCCCTTCCTATACACAAGAGATAAGCATCAGGACGCAAAACTGAAAGCACAGATCGCAGGAAGCTGTCGTGGCCGGTCTCCTAAAACTGACAGCTTTACAGCTCGGTATCTGAAAATACAGTTCACCTCCCACCAATTCAGTTTTCCATCACTGGACCGTTACTGGCAGCATCAGCGAAGGCGGCATTAGGATCTCTGAAGATCACTCGTGGGGCAGCCAACATGGCACACTGCTGTCTCCTGGGACAGTTCACCTACGGGCTCCCAGAGAGGCGCAACCGCTCCTCCGCAGAGCTACGGCGGGACCCAGGACGGCGGACGGGCCGCCGGGGGGAAGCAACACTCGCTCTGCCGGGCAGTCCAGGCACAGCTCGGCCCGGCCGCTCTGAGGCGGGGACGCGGATGGCGCCCGCAGGCCGCGGCGCCTTTGTGGCGGGGCCTGTCCTCGCCTCGCCCGGCCGCTTTGGCGGGCCAGGAGCAGTTTGAAAACACGCAGACAATGCGGCTGGCGGGAGCGGCAGCGCAGCCACAGCGCCCCCCCACCCCACCCCACCCCGGCCGCCCCGGCCTCCGCCCTACCCCCCGAACCGCCGGCGCCCCGGCCTCCCCGCCGGCCCCTCACCCACGCCAGCCCCCGACCCCAGCCCGGTCCGCACCACGTCGATGTTGCTGAAGCCGGTGAGCACCAGGTCCTTGAGGAGCTCGCAGCCGATGCCGCCGGCTCCCACCACCAGGAGCCGCGCCTGTGCTACTGCCTCCGCCAGCTCGCTGCGCAAGGGGCCCGACACCGGCACCGGCACCGACATGACTGCGGGCGAACAACGGCGGCGGGCAGCGGGGCAAGGCGCGCGACTTTCTCCAGCCGGGCCGCACTCCGGACAACGAGACCGGGCGAGACCAGAGCGGCGGCCGCCCGCCTCGTCCGCAGCGCCCTCTGCCAGCCAGGAGGGCCTCGGCTCTCTCCGTGCACCGCCCCCGAAGGCTGCGGCGGGGAGGAGTTTGTCGCCGGTTCGAGACCAGCTCCTACCGCCGTCGCTCGGCCCTGCTTCGGCTGGAGACTGCCTCGGCTGCCTGACTTCCAGGGAAGTCCGTCCTCGCGGGCTACAGCCAGGGATTGAAACACGGGGACCCGGGCTACCGGCTGTGGCCGGGAAACAGAGCAGGCTGGCACCTTGGGGAGCGGGGGCAGCAGTCCGGGCCGAGCACGAGACGTGTATCTGCAAGCCTAGCCCGACTGACTCGTCCCCTGTACCCCCCCACGGTGAGCATCCTTCCTTCAAAAAGTAGTTTTTCAAAGACGTTCCATCATGTTAGCCCTCGCCCCTCCCCTTTTTAAACTCACACTCAAAGACACTCAAATTACTCCGTTAAGTCAATTAAAATACTGCAGTTCAGCCTACGCTAACAGGGAACTCCACAGAAGGCTTTAGACTGTTTTGAACTAAAGCAGCGTGACAAGCCCGCAAGGACCAGGCTGCAGTAACAAGGCAGGTGTTGTACCTACCCCATCACTGTACCTGAGAGAAAAGAAGCTCCAACAAAAAAACACTTCTTCCCCATTCAAAGCAACCTGTCAGAGCACATTTCACCATGCTAATGCAGCTCATCTCTCATCAGCAAAACATAGAGAAAAGTTTCATGATAGGAAGACTCAGTGATAAGAGCGCTCCTGCCACCACTCACCGAGTTTACAATCTGCGGTCAAAACAAAGCAGATCTGTTTTTTTAAATCAAGCTTACATTAAGTTCTTCACTGCTTGTAGTTTCTAAAAACCGAATCGTGTTTGGCTGATGAATTAACAGGTTGCCTCATTACAGTTAGCTATACTTTCTACTTTACTGTCCACCCCAAACATTAAGCATTAACTACACTCAGGAAACCATCTCTACAATTTCTGTGTGCAACCAAAGTATGCAAGTTTCTTTCACCACATTTTAAAGGCATGTCCAATCAGTTATTTGTGGAAATAAGCACAATGTCATCACATCAATTTCATTTTTCACCACTTCTGAGGAAAGTTCTCTTGCATAATTACACCTTCACCTGTAGTAAAAAAAAAACCACAAAACCAAATCACCAGATTTTTCATTTAGGCAGAGAAATACAATTTATTTAAATAATCTCTGATCTGGGTCTTCTTGTACAAATATAAATTCTTCAAGAGGGGTGTGGTGATCTGTTGGCCAACAGTTTCTCTCACATGTGTAAACAAGAGCAGTTCCAAATTCCACTGACAAACCTAAAAACAAAGCAACAAAGGCACATAATGTAAAAGTATGAAAAATGTGTCGTGGTTTAAGCCCAGCCAGTAACCACACAGCCACTAGCTCACTCCCCAACCCCCTCTTTCTTCTTCCCCCAGCTCCCAGAGGAATGGGGAGGAGAATTGAATGAATGTGACCCCCACGGGGAGAGACAAGAACAGTCCAGTAACTAAGGTATAACACAAAACACTGTTGCTACCACCAACAATAAGGAAAATAACAAGGGAAGAGAATACAACCGCTCACCACCTGCCAACTGATACCCAGCCTGACTCGAGCAGCAATGTGGCCCTTCTGGGTAACTGCCCCCAGTTTTTATACTGGGCATGACGTGCTGTGGTATGAAATACCCCTTTGGCTAGTTTGGGTCAGGTGTCCTGTCTCTGCTTCCTCCCAGCTTCCCCTCCTCCCTGGCAGAGCATGAGACTCAGAAAGTCCTAGGTCAGAGTAAACATTACTGAGCAGCAACTGAAAACATTGGTGTTACCAGCATTGTTCCCAGGCTGAAAGTCAAAAACACAGCACTGCACCAGCTACTAAGAAGGGGAAAAATGACTGCTGCTGCTGAACCCAGGACAAAATGGTATCATTGGAGCTGTTGCTCATTGCTCACTTCAGTCTTTGCCAATTCAAAAAATATTTCTCATATTCAGTCTTCTAACGGTAAAGATTTTAAAGCAAACAGAATTTTCAAAGACCTTAAGTGTCTGCAATCTTACCTGACAATATTTATTTTTCAAGGCCTCACTCAAGAGGCAATAAAGACAAATTACTCCCCAGGTCAGGAGTTATCTACAATGCTGTTCATTTGTGAGCAGATGAAGTTGCAATCACAGAGTCTCCATAAACCAAAGCTGTATCTTTCACTTAGTGAAATCGATAATGGAAACAGAGAGGATTGTATATACAAAGATGAGCACAGTGAAGTACATCAGTGTGGATGGTTACTGAGAAACAATCCAAATTACAGTCATAAACTTTACCAAGAAGGTGACTGTTTCTAGTATTCATTCATCTAAGTCAAAGGTTAGCACCTGAATCACTCTGTAGCATGCTGACCAGTGCTGGCATGAGTTGAAATTCAAATATTCTGTTGCTTCCACAGTTACTGCAGGCTGGAATACATCTCGTAAAGTTGCCTGGAGGACATGTGATGAATAAAGGCTGGCCACCCCAGGAGTATCTAGGAGAAGAAAGGAAAAAATTATATACTTTTTTTAATCTGAATTTTGGAAGAAAACTTACATTTTGGCAACAGCATTCAGGATTCTCCAAAACCTCTGAACTTGCTTGTAATAAAAAACATTATTAGGAGCTAGAATTGTTGACTCAGCTTCAGACGAACCATTAAACAAAGAGTAAAGATGGGGAGGTGTCGTGTTTTAAACCCAGTCAGGTAACTCGTTCACTCACTCCCCCCCTCCTTCTTTCCCTCCGCCTACTCCCGGAGGGACGGAGAGGAGAATCAAAAAGAATGCAACTCCCACGGGTTGAGATAAGAACAGTTTAGTAACTAAGGTATAACACGAATCACTGCTGCTACCACCAATAATAATAATGATAAAGGAAATAACAAGGGAAGAGAATACAACACCTCACCACCAGCCAACTGGTAACTCGCCCCCCCCAGCCCAACCAAGCACCGACCCATACCTCCTCCAACCCCACAGTCCACCAGCCCTTCCGGCTAACTCCCAGTTACATCCTGGGCATGACGTGCTGTGGTATGGAATACCCCTTTGGCTAGCTTGGGTCAGGTGTCCTGTCTCTGCTTCCTCCTGGCTTCCCCTCCTCCCTGGCAGAGCATGAGGCTCACAAAGTCCTTGGCCAAACCAAAACATCATTGTTATCAGCTCTGTTCCCGAGCTGAAAGTCAAAACTCTGCACTGCACCAGCTACCAAGAAGGAGAAAAATGACTGCTACTGCTGAACCCAGGACAGGAGGGGGAAATACTTGTGAAGCCAACACCTCGAAAATCTCTAAGCAAGAGCTAGATTTAAAGACCACAAATGCTTTGAACTGACACCTTTAAAATGTGCTGTACCTGACTCAATTAAACACACTATACTTTCCTGAAAAATGAAATCCTAACCAGTGGCAGTTATTCAGCACAGAATACCTCTCAAAACCACTCTAAGTTATGCCACAGAACTGATACTGTATTTGTAAGAGTTACCAGAGCTCCACAACTAACAGGCAACCAAGACTGAAGATAGTTTCTACTGAATGCCAAGCTGAGGATTCTGTGCTAAGCTGAAAGCTCAACAGAGATCAACCTCTAGGAGCAACAGGGGTCTAACAGGCATACTCACAGTACCCATGAAGGGGAAAGGGAGGGCTAGGTAAAGACTGCAACTAGTGACAGTCATAGGGATCACCAGAGGTGATGTTTCAGAAGAACGAAAATCTCAAAGAGCATAATACTGCAAAGTGACAGATCCTGTGGAAAAAAAAAAAACTTGTCTCAAAACGTCACTTGCACTCTGCATTAGTATATTTTCTTTATGATCTTTGATACATAAAGTTTCTAGTATTTCTTCTCTGCGTAAACAGACCCTCAAACTTTACCTCCTCCTCAAGAAGATACCAGTTAGTTGTACCTGGTTCTGAAAACTAGCTAAACAATGGTTCTGTCACTGCACTGGGACAGCTTGACCAGATAGGCTGCACTGGGCTATCTGGAACAAAGAAGTTAAAAAAATAACAGTTGGTATGATCTATGAAAACCATGTGTGTTATCTGTTACCATTAATAATTTATGATTTGAACTCTCTGTTATACTTCCATTCAGAATTAATTCCCCTTTCAGAAAGTAGCTGCTCTGCATTTAAATCTGCTTTTATCCTAGGAAAAGCTACAGATTTACAAGAACTGAAGAATGCAGCATCCTAAGGGGTAATCACAATAAGCTGCAGAAGAACTCAGGCTTTAAAACAGGTAATCTCTTACTCCAGCAATATCTTTGGGACTGAAACAATTAGCAATTACAGTAAGGTTACAAAATTTCAGAGGAGCAGATTGCCCTGGAAATCTATCACAACAGCATACCACTGGGTATTACACTTCCACCTCAAAAATGCTTCTTGAAAACCACTATGTGTGGATTTCAGGGAGTTTTCAAAGACAGCCTGGGTCTGTTCTCATCAGATTTTATGTTGAAGAAAGTCTCCCACAGCCAGATCCAGGGTCTCTGATCTTAATTCGCTTCTCATCTACTTACACTTTGCACAAAAAAGCCCAACCAGGGACTGAAGTCTGACCACACATAAATTATAACAGCCCTTTTAATTTTTCTTATAAGGAAATAAAAAGTTATATATATTTCAAATGAAATAGTTTATTTTGAGGTACTAACAATCTGTATCTATGATCTGTATCTCCCTGCTACAACCAGATGATCAGCATACCTTAGAATCTGTTCAGGACACAAAGATATTCTTTTCATAAATTTATGGAATCTGTGGTCCCTGCTTTTGACTTCACTCTTCTCATATTTTTCATTGCCACATTCACCGGCAAAACTAGAGCAGGAACAGAAACAAAATTTTCACTGAGGCTTTCAGTACAATACGCATGCTTTAAATAAGCAATAGTTACTATACATTCTTCACTGTGAGGGTGGTGAGGCACTGGAATGGGTTGCCCAAGGAAGCTGTGAATGCTCCATCCCTGGCGGTGTTCAAGGCCAGGCTGGACAGAGCCTTGGGTGACATGGCTTAGTGGGAGGTGTCCCTGCCCATGGCAGGGGGGTTGGAACTGGATGATCTTAAGGTCCTTTCCAACCCTAACGTTTCCATGATTCTATGATTCACATTAAAATTGTACTAAGTGCACAGAAAAAAACATCCATGTTAAATTAAGAGGCAATTCCTGTTAAAGGTTGCAAGTGAACATCTTGCTTCTAGTTCTTCTGCTTCTGGTGGCTTACAATTACTAATAGTCTTTCAAACTACCATGAGATTGAAGTCTACCATATACTTCTTTACTACTTCAAAAAATCTTTCTTTTAGTAATTTCTCACAAGTTTTTAAATTACAATGTTGTCTTTTTAAATTTTGAATTAAATGCAATTAAAGTCCTGTGGTTCATTAAAGGCCAACAAAACTCAACAAGAATACCACCACTAAAAAGCGTTCCATGTAGATTCTCCAATTGGCAGTAGCCTTAGTTACCAAAAAATTCATTGTTGCCCACAAATCAGGATAAGTCACACCACATGTTTATATATCAAACCAGTAAGGATTCAAGTGCTTGCTGTGACCACCTAAGTTAAAACTGAAATATTTTCAATAACTATGTTCAAAAACTGTCTTCAGACAACCTTTACAAAATCTTTGTGAGTCTTTCCATCATCCCAGTCTCTAGCCAAAATCCCCAAGTAATTCAAATCTTAAAAATGGATTGAAATGTAAGAAAAGCTTTAGCCTTGAAAAGAAAAAAGTCAAATGTCACAATATAAACTCATGCCATTTAGTGTAAGACATTGTTTGAACCACAAAAGTTTGGTTTCAGAGATTGACAGTCCATTGCTCTATCTGGAGCCCAAGGACATTCCAATTGCTCAGTCACTCAGAAGCAGATGCATCTCTGAACAATTTAAAATCTGACACAGCAGGGTGTATTGTCATATTCTTCCAGCTAAGTACTACACACCAATGGTTACAAACGGAAAGCATTCAGATTTAGTAAGAAGTGGGTTTCAACTACAATTATCAGACAGGAAATCATGGAATCCCTTCAGTTCAGTGTGAAATCCAGACCTGTTCTCACCTTTCTGACATCAGCTGCTCCAAATCAACACCCTCTCTCTGCTGATACTCCTTGAATAGCCTGTCTGCATGATCTGTATCAAGGAAACCAATGTAGTCTTCCTCATCCACAACACTAATGTAAAAGGGCTGAAACACAGGAGCTGAACCAGATGTTTCCACTACCATTCTCTCACTGACTGGAGAATGTGTATTCAGGGAACCTGAATCCACAGCCTCAGACAAGCAAAGGTGTTGGAGCTGGGATGCACACTCCACCTCTCTGGACAAGGAGCTGCTCACTGCTTCATTTAAGCCAAGCAGCTGAAGGGAGGTACATGCAGGAGTTTCTGCTCCATCAGAGACTCCCCAGTCATCTGCTTCATCACACCAATCCTTTGGAGTGAAATGTGATTCTTGTTTCTGAGAACAAACAAAAAAAAAGAAGATTAAAGGAAAAGTAAAAAGAACATTGTCAAGATCAGCCACCCTAATGCACTTCAAATATAGCTTCATAAAAGTTAAGAAAACCAAAACCTTAACCTAATGCTTTGTGCTATTTCACCTGTTCTCCTCACAGTGATACTTGACAGTGTACCCACATTTACTTTTCCCGGTACTGCAGCCATGGCAAAAAAACCCATACGTTTATGAGTTATGGCAAAAAAAAAATCTCACAGGAGATAAACGGAGCAGGAATTCATCAGCTTTTTGCCTGGCCTTTGCACATCACATTGCCATACCTTGGCTGCTGCCAGTGCCACTGACAGCTACTTTGGGCACGTTTAGCTGAAGCACAGTTACTGCAACACAGGTAAGCTCAAAGGGCAGAATATGGAGGAAAATAATAAGAACAACAACAATACAAGCTCATTTACCACAGACCAAAATTTTACAGTACAAAAGCTGCAGCTGAATAAACACTTTCTGCCTGTCATCACTACTTTGACAGCCATCCTCCTCTTTCAGTCTTTTTAGGCCAACATGCAGCTGCTCTTCAAGAGCAAGAATACCAGAAGTATATTAACAGTAATTGAGTCAGATTAATCAGAACTAATAATTTTTAGAAAATATATTTAAATTAGAAATCATTTTAAAGACGCAAACCTAAACAGCACAGCCCAAACATTTAAAGTTGAAAAACAGTATTTAGGTAGCTCAATTAAAATATTAATTATCAATTTTGACCATACAGTTGCATTGCCATCTCCACTTTAAAACAACTCTAACATAGATCACAAACAAGAAGTTAATCTTCTAGTAAATAACATGTAGTACTCATGGTGTCAAAATTCCATAACCACAAATTATCCACACAACCACATATGTGAATCAAACTGGCACATAGCACAGATTCTTAAAAAAGGTTGTCACAGACTGGTTTGGGTTGGAAGGGACCCTGAAGCTCATCCAGTTCCACCCCCTGCCACAGAAGGGTCACCTTCCTGCCCTTCCTTACACCAGGTTGCTCCCTGTCCCATCCAACCTGACCTTTAACACTGCCAGTGATGGAGCAGCCACAGCTTCCCTGGGCACCCTGTGCCAGCGCCTCAGCACCCTCACAGTGAAGAACTTCTGCCTAATGTCTAATCTAAATGCACCCTTTTTCACCTTGAAGCCATCCCTCTTATCCTGTCACTACATATCCTAAGTATGGTAACTTAAACAACTATATATAACATGTTATAGCCACTTAACTATCGATAAGGTGCAAAACTCATCCAACCCTGCTGTATTTCTTATTTTCATACAGCACACTGAAACAATGGAGAAGATGGCCGCATGCAAAGAGTTGTGGTCAATGGCTCAATGTCCGGCTGGAGACCAGTAACGAGTGGTGTCCCTCATGGGTTCAGTGTTGGGACCGGTCTTGTTCAACATCTTTGTCGGTGACATGGACAGTGGGATTGAGTGCGCCCTCAGCAAGTTTGCTGACACCAAGCTGTGTGGTTCGGTTGGTACGCTGGAGGGAAGGAATGCCATCCAGAGGGACCTTGACACGCTTGTGAAGTGGGCTGATGCCAACCTCATGAAGTTTAACCATGACAAGTGCAAGGTCCTACACCTGGGTCGGAGCAATCCCAGGCACAGCTACAGGTTGGGCAGAGAAGAAATTCAGAGCAGCCGGGAGGAGAAGGACTTGGGGGTGTTGGTCAATGAGAAACTTAACATGAACTGTCTTCAGTGTGAGCTCTAGAAAACTAACCGTATCCTGGGCTGCATCAAAAGGAGCATGACCAGCAGATTGAAGGAGGTGATCCTGCCCCTCTCCTCTGCTCTCCTGAGACCTCACCTAGAGTATTGTGTACAGTTCTGGTGTCCTCAACATAAAGAGGACATGGAACTGTTGGAACAAGTCCAGAGGAGGCCACGAGGATGATCAGGGGACTGGAGCACCTCCTGTATGAAGACAGGCTGAGAAGTCATGGCTGTTCAGTGTGGAGAAGAAAAGGATACGTGGAGACCTCATCCAGCATCTGAAGGGGGCTTATAAGGATGCTGGAGAGGGACTCTTTATTAGGGACTGTAGTGATAGGACAAGGGGTAACGGGTTAAAACATAAACAGGGGAAGTTTAGATTGGATACAAGGAAGAAGCTCTTTACTGCAAAGGTGATGAGGCACTGGAATGGGTTGCCCAGGTAAGCTGCGAATGTTCCATCCCTGGCAGTGTTCAAGGCCAGGTTGGACAGAGCCTTGGGTGACATGGTTTAGTGTGAGGTGTCCCTGCCCATTGCAGGGGGATTGTAACTTGATGATCTTAAGGTTCTTTCCAGCTCTAATTATTCTATGATTCTACGACAGAACCCAAGAAGGCAGGTTGTTATCTATACCTGTTTTACACTGTAATCTTGCGTTTCCTTTTCTTGTGTCTGCAAGTACTGGGAGCGCAGTACCTTCCAGCTTTAACAAGCCGTGTAAAGGAAGAAGAAGATGAATCAAAACCACGTAAAGCACAAACTATTCAAGCTGGTAACACTTATCAGCGGCGGGGGGACTGCGCACGTGTCGAAGGAAGCCGCCGTGAGCCCTTCCTCACCTGCGGGCGTCTCCCGCGCAGCCGGGCCCGGTGCAGGCAAACACGTTGGCGAGGCGGTGGCAGGGAGACCCCTCCAGCGGGCAGTACACCTGCACCAGCTGCGCCAGCAGCCGTCCGCACACCCCGCACCGCGGCGCGGCCGCTCGCACGGACGGCACCCAGTCCTGGAAAACGAATGGCGCCGAGCGTTCACTGGGGACCCTCCGAGGAGCACCGTGCAGCGAACCCCCCCCCCCCCCACCGCCGCCGCCACCACCCTCCGCCCGCCCCGCGCGACCCCAGCCCTACCGCGGAGCCGCCCAGCTTGCTGGCAGCCCAGGCAGGGTCCTGCCCGCTCCCTCGGCACGGCCCCACTATAGCGGCATCCCGCAGGCCCAGCAACACCACCGGGCCCGCCGCCATCCCAGCACCGCCCGCCCGCTACGGCGGCCACCAGCGGCCAAACGCCGCCGGACGCGGCACCCCACAGCGCATGCTCGCGGGGCGGGCGCTAGGAGAAGAGACCGCGCGGTGGCGGTGTGGTGTTCAGGCGGGGCACGAGAACTTCCCGCGCCCCGACGGAGCAGCTTCAGCGCCTCAGGTATTCTGCTCGATGAGAGCTCCCCGCCGACCGGAATCGGAGCGAAAGGACGAGGTGAACACTGCTGCACCGCACGTCTGGGGTTTTCGTGTGCGGAAAACGACGTAGAAGAATCACTGCGGTGTTACAGGAGCTTTGCTTCAATGCATGTCCTGCCACTGGTTCCAGCTAAACAAAGTAATGAAGGAGCATGAGTCCAGTGTTTTTGCAGTGTACTGAAATTTCTTACTTTACTAGAAATGCTTTTACCTTAACAGTGCTCAAATACAAATGAGTAAACAAAAAGATTCCCCATCCCTGGCAGTGTTCAAGGCCAGGTTAGACGGGGCTTGGAGCAACCTGGTCTAGTGGAAGGTGTCCCTGCCCGTGGCAGAGTTTGAACTGGATGAGCTTTAGGGTCCCTTCCAACCCAAACCATTCTAGGATTCTATGATGGTTCTATGATTTAGCAAATCACAGATACCTGCTAAGATACCTGCCAAGAAGGACTTCCCAAGCACAAAGCAAATGTCACCTGCATGATCTGCATTTACAGAATTGGGTTTTGAACATGAAGTTGAACTTGGTGTCATTGTTTGAGCCCAGCCAGTAACCCAGAGCCATGCAGCCGCTCGCTCACTCCCCCCCCCTTCCTCTCCCCTGATCCCAGAGGGATGGGGAGGAGAATAGAAATAATGTAACTCCCACGGGTTGAGATAAGAACAGTCCAGTAACTAAGGTATAACACAAAACCACTGCTGCTACCACCAATAATAATAATGATATGGGAAATAACAAGGGAAGAGAATACAACCACTCACCACCCACCAACTGATACCCAGCCTGACCCGAGCACTGATCTAGCCCTTTCAGGTAACTGCCCCCAGTTTATATACTGGACATGATGTGCTGTGGCATGGAATACCTCTTTAGTTATTTTGGGTCAGGTGTCCTGTTTCTGCTTCCTCTCAGCTTCCCCTCCTCCCTGGCAGAGCATGAGACTCAGAAAGTCATAGGTCAGAGTAAACGCTACTGAGCAGAAACTAAAAACATCGGTGTTATCAGAGTTGTTCCCAGGCCGAAAGTCAAAACCACAGCACTGCACCAGCTACTAACAAGGAGAAAAAATGACTGCTAGTGCTGAACCTAGGACACTTGGTTGATGCTGAAATTCCTGAAATTATACTACACTAATAGACAAGTGAAAGAAGTAATTGAAACTCATTGCTGGTGGTTCAATGTTACATCTTACAGCTTCACTTGGAAGAAAGAGGTTTGCAGGAGCTTGAAGGGGAAGAGTCTCCTGGAGCTTTGGGAACCAGCCTCCAAGACCCCCAAATGATGGACCCTGTGTAGAGCCTGAATGACAACCTTAATGTCCCTCTACACTTTGCACTTAGTTCAAGGACATTGCAGTACATGGGGAAATCCTGCCACAGCGTCTGTATCTAAGAAAATGAAGAGGGGAGGGAGGAGGAGGGAGAGGGAAGAGGGACTAGTGGAGGCCTGAAGTACCTACCCTCACTAAATAACAATCAGCACATTAGAATTGCCTCTCACTGTGAGGGACTCTGTGCTCTATTTCAGCACCTGCAGGGTGAAAGAATGTTTTCTGTTAGCTCCCATGAGCTTGAATAGTTAATAAATCAACATACAAATAAAAGGCATTGTATGTATCTTACAGTTGGAAGCATAAATCCAAATTTGCGGTTTGTTAGTCCTGTTATGTCTAATTACAGACTGCATTGAGACTTTTTTCAGCCAGCAGCAGCAATGGGTTTTTAGGGAGAAATACGCAGTTCACAACTGCATCAATAGCGAGAGGACGCTGGAGAGAAAAATACCTCTTCATTACTTATCTGTCAGTTTTGCTTGAGAAAATAATTCAGCTCTCTTAGTATTTACCTAAAGAAATCACTCAAGTGACCTATTTTTAGCTATAATTTATAATGCCAAAAGTAATTAATTCTCAGGCATTGTTCTGAGTTTCTCTTATGCAATTTTAGTACCAGTTAAGAATTTAATAGCACTCAAGACAGACAGTAACTTCTTAATGAGTTTCTAACGTCTTAGAGTTGCATGAGTAACAGGGTTAAAATCAGATTACATGGTAAGATTCCAAAAGCACTGACAAGCCAGCACAGTGATACGGAAAAACTGGTTATGGCAACAGATAAAACAGCTATTAACAAAAGGTTACATTTGCAACAAGGAGAGCATTCTTCATGGCTGCACTTCCTAGAAAGGGTTGAGAAATCCTGTATTACTTCCTCCAATATGCAAGTCATTCCTTCTTGCACACACTGTTGAAAATCAGCCAGCTGCTAGGAAGTGCCTTGCTGACGACAAAGGTGACACAATGGGCTGCACAAAGCTGCCAGTTCCATCTTTGCAATTTTAACTAGTTGGTGTTCATGACCATTCCAAGGGTAAAATAAACTTAATTGTTTACATTCCTGTGATGAATGCAGTTCTACCCTGAAATGCAAGGTAGGGAATGTACCTGCTCACATTCTTCAGGTGCATTATTACTGTTCCAGTCCACTGTTGTGAAGTTCTGCAAGAGCCAAGCAAGTGTGATACAATGGATTTGCTTTGAGTTATTATCATCTTAAAGAAGGATTTATTCTGTCTTAAAAGTACAGCACTAGCAACCATTAATAGAGTTATGATTACCATCTCTTTTGCTGGTATATTTTTTTCCTCTTAAGCAGTGAATCACTGCAGCTGAATCAGGTTTTTCACAGTAGTGTAGACGGAATTATCTGCAATCAGTGTAACAGAAGACTGACAATTTTCTTTTATTAACTGTGCTTTACTCCTTCATGAACAGTACTTTCTTCAGCAACTAAGTCACAGTGAACAGCAGCTGAAGGCCAGAGTCAGGAAGACTGCATGTGCGTACTTTGCAGAGCAGCAGGTCTTCCTTTTGTGAGCCCATGAACAATACTGAGCTAACAACATGCAGTGATCAACATCATACTTGCTCTCCCCTCTGTCTCAGTGGGTGTCTTTCCTGCCAGCAATACCTCCTGCCTTCAGCCGATGACTTGTGAACTCTTTGCCAGGAAGGGTTCAAGAACAGATAATCACACCACAGAATAGTCTGTAAAAAACCTAGAGCCTCCATACTCAGGTTCTGCAAAAAAAGGCTGGAAAAATCCTATCTGAAACGTTTCAGGTTGAACAAAGAAACTGGACACATTTCCGGCTTCCTGGGTGTGATTTAACCTCTTAGAATTAGCCTGTATCAGCTAAGTGAATGAAAAGGAAGTTCCAAAAAATCAAAAGCAACATTAATTTGTAACACCTTACAAAACTAGAAAACAAGTAGAGATCTTCTGTCCTCATTTGTGAGATGTCAAGCCCATCTGACTGAGTTTCTTTTGATGGATGCTGTGCTCCCTACAAGCTATTTCCAATTAAAGAAAGTGCAAAGAGTCTGTAAGAATGATATCTGACCATTCTAGTCTGGAAGAAGAGGGGAATAAACATATATCATATGTCTGACACTTTTGATATATTCTTTATAGATAATTTCTTACAGATTTCAATGTCTGCCAATTTTTCCCTCATTTCCCCTTCTCACATGAGCATTATTCAGTTTTGATATCCACCAAATAGATACCAAGGTCTTTTTGAGCCTGAATGATCGTGTTTTTTTTCTGCTTGCTTCATTAAATAGTGATTTTTAGTCCCACAAACATTTGACATTTCCCTCGATTCTCTCCTTTCCCTGTGATCTTGACAACAGATTACATAATAGTGAGTTAGAAGGTGATTATTAAATTCTGCATCCTGACAAAATAAGTTTGTTTGACTTTATTTCAGGTTTCGTAAACAATCTCTACCCTCTACAACTTTTATAAATCTGTGTGTTTTCTCTTTTCATTCCTCATTTCTTTTGTGAGCTGTATAAAAAAATCTACTCTGTGTTCTTTCAATTTCTTTGCTGCCTTTTGCGTTAGGTCTATTTCCAGGTATTCTTCATCCAGATCATACTGAGGCCAATGGACCAAGCCTTCTCCATTGGGATTTCTGGAAATAACATAAAGAAAAGTTAGCTTTTCATTTGCCTGTCAGTTGTGCTCTGTCTTGTCTGGTTGAGAGTATTTCAGAAAACTAACACAAGCTCAGATTATGTGATTCTAGTACCTAATAGATGGATGTTTTTTATCAAACTGCTCATTAATGGAATAACAAAAGTTTAATAATTGCCATTACTTTTGGATCTAAAACTCCACTGCAGATGGAATAACAGAGGTTTGGTGGTTGTTTTTTTTTACTTTGGTCTGCAGGTTTGTTTAGAAGATTTTCTCAAAATCATTACGTATAGAAATAATTTGCTTCAGTATTTATCTTAAATTCCATCACAGTTGTAGGAACCACCATGTGAGTATTCCTTCAGGCATATATTTCAGGCAGCACAGACAAAACTTGAGCTGTAATTAGCATTACAATTCTCACCCATTTCTAGCAAAGTTAGTCCAGTATTTCATAATAGTTCTGCTAAGTTTTTCTTCTTCTTCTGTAGCATGCCCTGCAAAGTGAGAGACAAAATAGCAATATTAAAACCTGAATAATCAAAAGAGTAGCAGCTATATAAATTCCAATAGACTGTAATCAGTTCTACTAATTACTCTGAGCTATAGTTCTACCTGAGCAGCGCTCTAGAGGAGGACAGCAGATGAATGATTTCATGAAAAGCAGCTACTACTAAAGACAGAAAATGTTTATGTTGAGTCCAGTGTTTCTAAAAGAAACATTTCTATTCTAAAGCCTCTCAGTAAGTAAATGAGTAATAATGATGTTTTAAAAGGAATACATTAGAAGAATGGATACATCACCAGCCAAGAATGGCTTTCC